TATGTGCTATTCATTATTAGTTCATATTAACTAATGTAGTAACGAACCTTATTGTAAAGTGTTAAAAAACTAGTTTATCATTGTCAGTATTTAAGTCAAGTATGAAAAAACATTTGTGTGACTGTTAAAATTTCTGTATATGTGTTCTGTTATTATTGTGATGATTGTTGTTATTTATTATGATAGTTTGATGTATATGAACTGAAAAATCAAAAGGAGAGGCTTTATTATAAGCCCTTGGGGGTTTCTTGCCTCTCCTACACAATCCATATGTGTTGTTTTTTTTAATATCTGTCTGTTTTATCTTGTGCTAAAATAAATAAATAAAATAAAATAAAAAAGTTATTTCCCCCGAAAACAAGACATAATATCTAGTGGCATTTCACTCAAGTAAATGATTTTTGATTTATGAATTTTTTGGATATTTCGGACTGGAAACAAGACAAAAATACTAAGTAGGAAAAGCATTTTTGCAGTTCAGGGATTTACCGAATCATATTTAACAAAAATGTCTGCTTTTAAGTGCTCGAATGATATGGTTACTGTAATAATGATAGTTAAATGATAGATCTTAACTTTAACTCGTCTCCTTTTCTGCTGAGTCTCTTGGTCTTGCACACTCACACACACACACACACACACAGAAATGACTCAACATGGTTAAAAGTACAGGTAGTAGGTCCAGTAGAGCAGATTGACGAAGACGAACGACAGCGGGAAGGTTAAGCGGGAGTAGTTGTCTATGTAATGTGGGTTTTCCACGTGACAGCAGTTGACGGATCTGAGGATGTTCCTCGCGATGGACATGTTTTTGGCGCAGCGGCTGAAGGGCTCGGACGGGCCCTCGGGGGTCTTGTCTTCGCTGGCGGGTCCGAGACCCGGTTCTCCAGCGCCGGTGGACGCCGACACCGAGTCTTTGCGTCTCTTTACCCGTGAGGAGTTGCTGGCGATGGTTGTGAGCATGCCGTTCATCTCCTCCTCGCAGTCGTGCATGTGATGACCGTACTGACGGAGGACAGACAGAATCAGCCATGAAACTCAACGTGGCATTCAAAACGACCACAGGTATGATAGTGCATTTGATGAGAAGATGATGTAAACGATTAATGATGATCACAGTGATTATGATGATGAAGTAGTTCACTTCAGAATTAACATTCCCTGATGATTTACTCTCCTCCACGTCATCCGAGATGTCGATTTTCAGTCGAAAAAGAAATTAAAGTTTTTGAGGACACAACTACGATGCATAATACATAATTTCATCAAAAATATACCCACACACACACACACACACGTACGTTCAGGTTTGACTGTAATATTGTGAAAATTCCAAAATACATTTTAACAAAGAAATGTCAACTTTGACAGTTGTTTTTAATTGTTATAATAATGATTTTATAATTTCTAAACATATAATTAGGCTGTGATAAGAAATCCATGTTATTTTATATAAATCGTGTTTGTTTTCCAGTAGTTTCCAGGCACTAAACCAAAGCACATTTTTGATATATCACCATTAATGAAATTAAGTAGTTATATTTTATGGTATATTTTACATAAAATGTTCCTATTTATAATATAAATTTATATTTAATTTATTACAAATTGGGGCACATAAATAATAATAAAAAAAAAAACATAAAATGACCATAAACTGCACAACTTTACAGCAAAAACATTAAAGCTACATTGTGTAACTCTTTTAGTTTATTCTTAGCTAAAAACACTTAGTTCTTTCAAAAATATATGTGCTCAGTAATGTATATTTACTTCGTTCAAGTAATAAAGTATTCTCGTGAGTGTATAATATGCCATTGAAAATACATACGGGTAAGGGGTTCTAATGTCGCTCTCCGTGTTGCCCCTAAATCTTGAAAGTACATTAGCCAAAGAGGGACATACCCGTTAATTCAAGCTTCGCCTTTCGCGTTTACGTTTGAGTTAACGCTCATGGACGAGGTCGAACCGGAAGCCATATTAATCTTGGACTATATTGGCCACCGTAGGAGTTAAAACAAAATCGGAACTGAGAGGAACAGAAACTAATATTCACTGGATGGTCATATACCTTTTCACCGCTAGATGGGGGTAAAAATCACACAGTGTAGCTTTAAAAAAGTGAGTGATATTACCTTTGTTCAAAAAAAGTTACATATGTCACATTTTACTGAAAAAAAAAAATATATATATATATAATATATATAATATATAACTATATATATAGTTGCTGTATGTGTAATAGCATAGCAAGCAACCTAGCATAACATAAGTGATAAATTAACCTATTTCATTATGCATTCACGAGTTCCTTTGCCCAATATAATCTTTAAACTAATCAGGTTAAGCATATTTGGCTTGCTGTCCGCAGTGGTCAGGCAGTTAATTGGAGGATTAGATGGCTTCACTCCTCCCGAAATTACGTTGTGAACTTCACTAATATTTTAATGAGAGATGAGTGGTAGCTGCAGACATCTGCGAAGCACAGTATGAGCTAGTGTTGTCAAAAGTAGACTTTGGTACCAAGTCAGTACTGAAATTTAAACAAATGAGCGGAATCATAAACACCTCTGATTGGCCGTTGTGTTCACGTGCTCATCGGATATGTCTCTGATTGGCTACAATGACCAGCGGACGGAAGTGTTCGAGAGCACAAGCAGGCGTTTATCGGCGGACCGGTCCTGCTTTCAAACGCTCCCGTGTGTGTCTGTGTAAGCGCTCGCTCGATGTTTTTGAAGCGCTGATCCTTGTAGCCAATCACAGACATATTTGATGAGGGCGTGAACACAGCGGCCAATCAGAGGTGTTTACGATTCCACTCAGCGTTCAAAGCCCTCAGATAAACTTTCACTCTACTTTTGACAACTCAATAATAGTGCAGCTTACCACAGAAAACACCACTGATGATGATGAGTGTGATGATGATGATGATGATGATGAAGAGTCCTCGGCTCGTCTCTCACCATGAGTGCGCTGTTGCAGTCGGGGTGGTGCAGCGTGCAGAAGTGGGCCACGGCGTACTCGATCAGCGCTCCGAAGATGAAGCTGAAGCAGATGCCCAGGTACACGTCGATGGCCTTGATGAAGCAGTTGGCGTTGGGCAGAGACGTGCGGGCGCCCATCATCAGTGTGGTCATCGTCAGGACCGTGGTCACGCCTGTAACACACACACACACACAGCTCTGAACACAGCTCAGTGTTTATGAGACACGAGAACATCAGCTAGTAGAGCAACGGATCACAACATTCACGGTTCAGATCATTTACGGTTTTTTGATCAGCAAAAAAGAGGGAAAAAAATGTATATATATATAAATTGGGTGGCGTAACTTTGCTTTTCGATTATTACGTAGCTCACTGGATGCTACATCAAAAACTACTAGCCTGAACTAGATAAAGTTCAAACATTATTAAAGTCAGGTGAACAGTCAGTCATAAAATAAGAACAAATACACACATCACAAGCAGAGATGAATGCTAAATATAAAGGAAATTATAAAGGAGCAGGAAACCACAAGAAACACAATGAATGGCGACTGTAGAACGCAAAAGCCCAATCCTGGACATTTTGGGCGATCTCCAAACACATTTTCTGGGGCAGACTCATCACGGAGACTCACTAGTAGCCTGGACTTATTGTTTAACTACTGCGCTCTGTTACCAGTACACTCTCAGAAAAAAGGTACAAAAGCTGTCACTGGGGCTGTACCTTTTCAAAAGGTATACTTTTGTCCATTTTAGGTGCTAATATGAACATTTTAGGTGCTAATATGTACATTTTAAGTGTTAATATGTATATTTAGGTGCTAATGTGTCCATTTCATGAGCTAATATGTACATTTTAGGTGGTAATATGTACATTCTAGGTGTTAATATGTACATTATAGGTGCTAATATGCACATTTTAATTGTTAATATGTACATTTAGGTGCTAATATGTCCATTTCAGGAGCTAATATGTACATTTTAGGTGCTAATATGAACATTTTAGGTGCTAATATGAACATTTTAAGTGTTAATATGTACATTTTAGGTGCTGATATGTACATTTTAAGTGTTAATATGTACATTTTAGGTGCTGATATGTACATTTTAAGTGTTAATATGTATATTTAGGTGCTAATGTGTCCATTTCATGAGCTAATATGTACATTTTAGGTGGTAATATGTACATTCTAGGTGTTAATATGTACATTATAGGTGCTAATATGCACATTTTAATTGTTAATATGTACATTTAGGTGCTAATATGTCCATTTCAGGAGCTAATATATCCATTTTAAGTGTTAATATGTACATTTTAGGTACTAATATGTACATTTTAAGTGTTAACATGTACATTTTAGGTGCTAATATGTCCATTTTAGGTGTTTATATGTACATTTTAGGTGCTAATATGTACCACTAAGGTAACAATATGCAGCCTTTGGGTACAAAAGTCTACCTTTTGAAAAGGTACAGCCCCAGTGACAGCTTTTGTACCTTTTTTTCTGAGAGTGTAGGCGTGGCCTCCTAGGGCAGCGAAGCAAGTGCATTCTGGGAGTTGTTGTCTTTCATCCACATTATGCCAAAAATACATTGTCTGGCTTTTCTCCGGCTAGAAAGCTCCAAATTCAAAAATATTTTCACATTTCTTCTATATAAATGACCCATTTTAAATACACATTCATCTTTCCAGAGGTGAAGTATGCCTTTAATAAATCAGCTTTAGTTCGCAGACAGCAACAGGTATTAGTCAGGGAGCCAAAGTCTCAAAAGCTCTTTAAAATGGGTTGAACCTGACATGGTCTGCCATACTTTTTATTTGTGTTTTTTCTGTTAACTTTGACCCTAAGAACAAATAATTGGAGGGTCTGCTCTGCCGGAAATATCGCGAAAAAAAATTGTGGCCATTTTAGTGTACGCACCCTTTATTTTTTATCAGAAAAATGTGAAAAAAAATTTTTTTCATCAAATCCTTTGTGGGTTGGGTAGGTTCTCAATAAATGCATTCCAGATACACAGAACACATGTGCGGACAACATACACTGAAAAAATAATTCTTAAAACACATTTCTACATGATTTTGCATCAATTTAATGCAAAAAACAGGCGTTTTTTCACTTTTTTCCACTATTTTCATCTTTACTTCATTGGCAATCAACTATTCCATTAAGTTATGACATCAGGCAATATGCCATTCTTTTCACCAAACACTATACTCATTCCACAGAAAAAATGATAAAAATCCAAACAAAATCAATGGATCTGTGATGATTTCACTACTAGTTGGCGATCAACAGGCTCAGAATTTCAATAGAATTTTAGACTACTCTCAAAATTCTTAAAAACATGCTGGATATTTAGCATCATGGCTCACTTACAAACACACACACCACATGCGTGATCTTAGTAATTTTTATGTGTTTGGAACAACCAACCAACGGTTACCAACGGTTACCAACGGACTTCAAAGCTGCTCATCATTGTCTGTGGTAAGTGATAGTGACTAATATACCGATAGCTGCCCCAGAGTTTTGGGAAAAGAATGGTAATATGGATATTGTAATGGTAATTAACTGAAATGACCACACCAGTCTTCAAACAATAATATTTCTGATGATTCTGCATCCCAAACGTATCCCTGCAGCAGCAGCATTCATTCTCTACTAGTTTACTTAGCTAGCTTTAGCCGTTTTAGCTAATTTCGTTGGTTTCTACGGCATTACTCCTCACAGGTATGGGGTAGAGAGTAGAGACTTACTTTTTTTAATTGATCAGAATATTATGCTCTAAGAGAGGTATGTGTCCTATATGTTCAATAAGCTTCGACCGTAATTTGAGAAATTGCCAAAATTTCAACTGGACTTGTTAGGTAAAGAAATAGATATGAGACTAAATGCTGCTACAGGGATACGTTTGGAGCGAGGAATCATTGGAAATAAACTTGTATGAAGCCTGGTGTGGTCCTTGAAGTGTTCTTCATGTCAGACAGATAGTAGGCCTGTAAGGATAGCTAAAGGCTACACCAAACGTTAACTGCCATTAGCAATTAGCTACATGGCTAGTTGTTACATTCAGGTTTAGAAAGTTTAGCTAGTTAGCTTGTGACATGAATGGCCACACAGACAAAAAAAAACAACTATATAGCTATATTGGATATCAGATGTACACAATACTGAACAATACAAATGTTCTGTAAAATGTAAACATACTATAAATTATGCATAGTTTGTTTTTGTTTGTACAGTATATAGAGTAAGTGATTTGTCAAAAGCTAGTAGTAATAATAATAATTCATTTTATTTGTGGGCGTCTTTCAAGACACTCAATAACACCTTACAATAAGCAATAAGTAAACCAATGAAGGTTCCTTAAAACTGGAGTAATATGCTCATTCAACAGTGTTTGTGTAATGATCCGAGCTTCTGAATTCTGAACCATCTGAAGTTTATGAATACAGGATGACACTCAGACTCTTAACCTGAGAAGAAAGAAAGATAACAGAGTCGGCGATAGTAAGTGTAAAACTTCCACAATTCCGCAGTTTTGATTTAGTACCTACTAGTAAAATTTTAGTTCCCTTTCAGTCGATCACATGCGGCGTAACATCGACGTGACAACGTAATCGGGACCACTTCAGGGATCGCATCACGTGCCCCGCTCCGCAGCGTGGGTATAAACAGGAAGCGGGCGCACGCACACATTGTCTTTCACTTAGGAGCCGAGCTTTCGTCTGACTGAGTTCTGCAGACTGCTGCAATGTTTAAGATTCAAGAAAAGCAAGACTCTGTATCCAGTGCTGGTGTGACTGTGCGATCAGTGGTGGCCTCAAGGATTTTACAGCTCACAACTGCTGTTTTCACAGCATTGCTTGTGTGTGTGTCGGTCTTGGTGGGCGTTCCTCTTTGAGAGTGTACCCCGATTATACCGCGGCTATCCTTTTTTGTTTTCACTAAAAGAGCAACACAAGCGTGACCCTGCGTTCTTTTCAGGATGTCTTTCCGCTCGTGCGTTTATGGATGCGGTCATTCCCTGGCGCCAGCAGATGGTCACAATAGTTCCTTTTCGTGTTGGGCATTCAGCACGCTGAGGCAACTTTTGTGAATAGTTCATGTTTTCATTGCGGGAATATGACTATGACTGTGCTGAGATTGAGACTTGCTTACCTCAAGGGAGGTGCAGTCCCCTCGCCTATGCCCGATCTAGCTTTTATTTTGGACCTCAAAATAAACCTACTTCTGTGCATGAGCTGGGTGATCTGAGGATTGATGTGAGGACTTCCCCACTGAGGCAATCTCCTTGGGTCCCTCACACCTTACAAGCGCTGCAACTACCAGCCATGTCCTTTGGGGCTCCGCTTGATGATCAGATGTCGATCACAGCATCGTAGGGGGAGCTTCAGTCCTCTGGAGATGAGGATTCGGGTGTGTTGCCCCCTTTGAAGGAAACCGAACGTTCCATTGGTCAGGCGATGTCCACCTTGGTGGTCCAGGAGCACCACCTTTGGCTCAACCTGGCCGATATGAGAGACACCATTAAGAATCGGTTCCTGGATGCCCCTCGGTCCCAGGTTGGGTTATTCGGCGACGCGGTTGAGAGCTTTGCCCCACCCGTTCACTGGTCGCAGACCCTCCATCCGCTCGTCACTTAGGTCGACCTCCTGGGGCATCCTCCGCTCCTGTGAAGCCCCAGCAGCAGCCACCATCCAGGCCTCAGTGTGGACCCCACAGGTTTATCTGTTTGCCGCCCCGGACAAGTCTCACTATCAGTTGTTCTATTCTCTGACCGAGGGCACTCTCGGCACGGATGCTCTGGCACACAGCTGGTCCCCGGACCTACGCAAGTATGCGTTTCCCCCAGTGAGCCTTCTTGCACAGACATTGTGCAAGGTCAGGAAGGACGAGGAGCAGGTCTTGTTAGTTGCACTGTATTTGCCCAACCGAATCTGGTTCCCGGAACTGGTGCTCCTCGCGACAGCCCCTCCCTGGCCCAGGATCTGCTCTCTCAGAGACGGGGCACCCTATGGCACCAGCATCCAGACCTGAATGCCATATTCTTTGTTACAGCTTTGAGGGATGAATTCCATAAATACTTGGAAAGCCATGGAGTTCACAATGTTACCTCATACAGATATCAGTCCTTGATTGCCCACCTTAGAAGGCACTTTGAAGTAGGTGGTATTTTTAAAATAATGGTTGTGCCACAGAAAGTATGTTTTATTTGCTCAGCATAAATGAATGTTGGCTGCATGCTCTCAAAGTTGAAGGAACTTAAGGAGAAAACGGAAGAGGCAGAGTATTCATTTACAGTTATCTGACGCTTTTTTCAAAAGCGACTTACAATTGCTATATATGTCAGAAGTCACACACCTCTGGAGCAACGAGGGGTTAAGTGTCTTGCTCAGGTACACATTGGTATCTCGCAGTGGATTCAAACCCGGGTCTCTCACACCAAAGGCATGTGTCTTATCCACTGCGCCATCACCACCCTAATACTCTGCATACTTCTTGCAGAATATGAAGAAGAAAGTGTGTTGACACCATAGTCTCTTCCTACAACACAGCAACTAGAATACGTTAGGAACTCCAGGACCAACATAAGCAGGCCCTGAAGGAAGCAAGACAAGCCAGAACAGCTCAAGCCAGAGGGAGTCACCAGATCGCTGGTAGTATGACTGAAGACCCGACACTGCAGCAAGATATCATACCTGCAGGCATCCCAAAGATTGAGCTCTAACCTGTATAACCACCTGGAATGGATGATAACAGATGCATCTCCAGAGTTAGGTGAAGACGGCCAGGTGAAAGTTAGTCCTAAGCAGCAAGAACAAGTTCTCAACCTTGCCCAGGATGTCTGCCAAGCAGTTGCCAAGATCCCTGAAACACGTTGGGACAGCCATTAAAGAAACCAGAAGCAAGTCAACTGTGTCACTCCTAAATAGATTTAGGAACAGCATCAGCTACACAGAAGTACATATATATATATATATTTTAAAACAATGGCAATGGCACTTGAAGAGCAGACAACTAGGGATGGTGCCTTCATACCAACGAACCTGAAGGTTGGGCGATTCACACAGTTTGATAACCTTGACTTCCCAGAGTACACAAAGGATGGACGAACACTGAATGGCAGTTCATTCCAAGCATTTACCATCCCAGATAGAAAACCACCCAGAACACCTTAACAACAACAAAGAATCACCCTAGAAACCACATAGAACACCTTAACAACTACATAGAAACAGCCTAGAAACCACCCAGAACACATTAACAACTACATAGAAACAGCCTAGAAACCACCCAGAACACATTAACAACTACATAGAAACAGCCTAGAAACCACCCAGAACACCTTAACAACACCATAGAAACCACCCAGAACACCATACAAACTACATAGAAACACCCCAGAAACCACCCAGAACACCACACCTTAATAACTACATATCCTCTTTTTTCATCTACTATTCTTCTCTCTTGTTCAGTCCACCCTGTCCTCTTCACTCTACTCGCCTCATTCTACTCTTCCCTTCTGTTCAATCCTCCACTCCTCTTTACAGTCCTTTCCAATCGTCTGATGCCTTCTCTTCTCATTACCTTTTCCTCCACAGCAAACCCAATAAGATCAGAACCAAATCTGCCAATGGAAAATATTGTGCATTCAGGTGAAAGAAATGTAGATGTTTGACACTACTAGGTAACCAGCTTTTGACAAATCACTCACTCTATATACTGTACAGTACTATATACAAAAACAAACTATGCATAATATATAGTATGTTTACATTTCACAGAACATTTGAATTGTTCAGTATTGTGTACAGTCTGATATCCAATATAGCTATATATATATTTTTTTTGTCTGTGTGGCTATTCATGTCACAAGCTAACTAGCTAAACTTTCTAAACCTGAATGTAACAACTAGCCATGTAGCTAATTGCTAATGGCAGTTAAGGTTTGGTGTAGCATTTAGTTATCCTTACTAGCCTACTATCTGTCTGACATGAAAAACACTTCAAGGACCACACCAGGCTTCATACAAGTTTATTTCCAATGATTCCTCGCTCCAAACGTATCCCTGTAGCAGCATTTAGTCTCATATCTATTTCTTTACCTAACAAGTCCAGTTGAAATTTTGGCAATTTCTCAAATTATGGTCGAAGCTTATTGAACATATAGGACACATACCTCTCTTAGAGCATAATATTCTGATCATTTTAAAAAAGTAAGTCTCTACTCTCTACCCCATACCTGTGAGGAGTAATGCCGTTTAAAGAAACCAACGAAATTAGCTAAAACGGCTAAAGCTAGCTAAGTAAACTAGTAGAGAATGAATGCTGCTGCTGCAGGGATACATTTGGGATGAAATATTATTGTTTGAAGACTGGTGTGGTCATTTCAGTACCATTACAATATCCATATTACCATTCTTTTCCCAAACTCTGGGGTAGACCTACCGGTTTAAGTCTGTTGGTAACCGTTGGTAACCGTTGGTTGGTTGTTCCAAACTCATAAAAATTACTAAGATCACGCGCGTGTGTGTGTGTGTGTGTGTGTGTGTGTGTGTGTGTGTGTGTTTGTAAGTGAGCCATGATGCTAAATATCCAGCATGTTTTTAAGAATTTTGAGAGTAGTCTAAAATTCTATTGAAATTCTGAGCCTGTTGATCGCCAACTAGTAGTGAAATCATCACAGATCCATTAATTTTGTTTGGATTTTTATCATTTTTTCTGTGGAATGAGTATAGTGTTTGGTGAAAAGAATGGCATATTGCCTGATGTCATAACTTAATGGAATAGTTGATTGCCAATGAAGTAAAGATGAAAATAGTGGAAAAAAAGTGAAAAAACGCCTGTTTTTTTGCATTAAATTGATGCAAAATCATGTAGAAATGTGTTTTAAGAATTATTTTTTCAGTGTATGTTGTCCGCACATGTGTTCTGTGTATCTGGAATGCATTTATTGAGAACCTACCCAACCCACTAAGGATTTGATGAAAAAAATAATTTTTCACATTTTTCTGATAAAAAATAAAGGGTGCGTACACTAAAATGGCCACAATTTTTTTTCGCGATATTTCCGGCAGAGCAGACCCTCCAATTATTTGTTCTTAGGGTCAAAGTTAACAGAAAAAACACAAATAAAAAGTATGGCAGACCATGTCAGGTTCAACCCATTTTTGAGACTTTGGCTCCCTGACTAATGGGGGGAAAAAAGTTCCAGGGATAAATTGTTCATCGTCATATTGCATGCAAAATTTACAATAATTTATGAATTGCATCATTAGTATTAAACAGAAAATCCATTTAAATATTCATAGTCGGTAAGAGTTTTTTGGAAGAAGCTCGTCAAAGCTACAATTATTTAAATTGTGAAATATTATTCCAATGTGAAACTGCTGTGAATATATAGTAAAGTGTAATTTATTCCTGTGATCAAAGCAAAAAATTTCCTGGGACAAATTGTTCCGTGTTATTCCAGTTCAAATATCATACAATGAAATGCACAACTGTACCTATGCAAATGCGTGCGGGGACGGACGATTGGCTGATCCAAAAGGAGACCCAGGACAGAACCACTAGCAGGCTGGAGGGAACGTAGGTTTCCAGGATGAAGTACAAGATGCTCCTCTTCAGCTCGAAATGAAAGATCAGCCTGGGATAGTTTCCTGGGAAGAGAATCAAACAATCTTTTCTCAGTGATATAAAACTTTAACGCTAAAGTGAAAAGTATTCTGCTCAAAACATCAATAAGAGATTTAGAAGTTATCGGGGAGGTTTCTATACGCCACTCGTCAAATTAAGGGAATAATGACCTCATTGAAATATGAGAGTGAACCCACCAGATTATTGTTCAGACCAACCAACACATGTTTCGAAAACGAAAATAGGAAATCGCTTTTTTTTTTTTTTTTTTTTACAAAACTGTGTTTTAGGTGGACAGACCAATTTTGTATGTAGTTCAATGTTGTAAAATAACGTCTTTTCTGTTCACCAAATGCTTTTTAATATTCGCTATTACTTCAATGCAAGTAAACAAGCGCGCTGTTATGTGTTGTGTAGTGACGTGTGTGTTCAAGTAAGCCAGAAATGTGCAGATTCTGTGCAATGCGCTGGATTTAATAAATCATAAGGATCACGAGTTGCGTATTTGAGCGTATTTTGAACGTTTGTTCATAACCTTGACAGAACGTGATGATAATATTTGACTGCTCATCAGACATTTGGCTGCAGTAAGTGTGTTCTTGTGTACCTGTCTCGTACACGGCCTCAGACGCGGAGGTGTAATGGTCCTCGACGGTGTACTGGGCCAGTCTCAGGGTGTCCAGTCCGCTCACAGACTCGTTCCCACGCGCCCAGTTAAACATCACGTCATTGACATTATAACCCCCTGTGGACAAACGATTATGAACAAATCAGACTTTAAATATGTGGAAAATCAGATGTGTCTCATCATATTCATAATTGCATGCACAATTTACAATAATTTATGAATTGCATCATAAGTATTACACAGAAAATATTTAAACATTTATGGCCAGTAACATTTTTTTGGAAACTCATTAAAGCTGCATTTATTTGATCAAAGATGCAGTAAAATTGTGAATGCAAATCATGCAGTGTTAATCATATGTTTTCTATGTGAATGTACAGTAAAGTGTAATTTATTCCTGTGATCAAAGCTGAATTTATCATCATTACTCCAGTTTTCAGTGTCACATGACCCTTCCCAAATCAAAATTAATGATCAGGAAACATTAAGCACTGTTTTCAACATTGAAAATAGGAAATATTTTTGTAAAAACTGTGATATATTTTATTTTTCAGGATTCTTTGATGAATATAAAGATCAAAAGAACAACATTTATTTGAAATGGATTTTTTGAAACTCAGTTTTTGATTAATTTAAAGCATCCTTGTTGAATAAAAGCATTACTTTCTTTAAAGAATGACGCTTTTTAATGGTATTATTTCTAAATATAAATGAAATGTGCATCAGGTTTCACATGCCGTGACACTTGCTTTGATCAGTAAAAGTTTAAATGTTAAACTAAATATCAAATATTCTTCTACTTTAAAATAAAAATCAAATATCCTCCCGAATTAAATTATATGATGATATTTACTTATGATGTTATGATAAACAAGAAGAGAGTTTGATATGTGCAGGTTAATTTTAGAGTATATAAAAAAAAATATTTGAGCATAAAATCAGGATTGAGTGTGAATGCATTAATTCATATTTTATTTACAAATTCAGTTATTAATAATTAGATATAATTTATTGACGTGTAAGTGACTATGTCGGATTTTTCAAAAATAAAGGTCCACATGTGTCAGTGTGTAAAATCAGTGTGTGTCCTCTTGGTGGCGCTGTGTCACAGTTATAAGATAATATGCATCTGTAAGATCGGTTTTCTTGTCATGCGATGTTAATGTGTGTCTTCCCATGAGGACAGCAACGGCACATGACGGAGGAAGAGACTGTTCACATCACTGCTGTTTGTGTGACTCTCACATCACATATCAGTACAGTAACCCATGATTTAATAAAGACTTTGCATGCCACGCGATTCCCACACGACGAGACTTTCATCATCTCAATCCACCACGTCTCCATAGGAAACCATCCGACACAAAGATGGAGAATCTCTCGGCTCCTGTCATCGTTAAATAAATATTTCAGATGCCTTCGAGCTCTAGGTCGACACAAAGCTGGATACTGTACATTTCCAAAAATACAAATCATAAGAATGGGTGGATTAGACACATCAGGCATTGTCACATGATGTTCAAAATTATTGTTTTTGCCATTTGCTTTCAAACAAGTCAAATATACGATTCCTTCAACCTTCTGAAAGCTTCCTGTGTCATGTGATGGTATTTACTTCATGCTGGCATTCTGTGTGTTTTTTTTTCTTATATGCACACAGCGTAACTCGAGTGATCGGTGAGCAAACGCGATTGTCTCGAAGCTTGTTGTCTTTGGTGAGGGAGAACGTGCCCACAATCACTAGAAGATGCATTTCAATAATCTTTCTGTAACTGTAAGAAACAATGTTTATTTGAAAGAGTGCAAATAATTCTCAAAATGTAATCTTTTCATAAAAATTACACTAAAAATTGCATAATAACTGCACATAACATGTTCATGTGTCAGATTGTGCCAAAAAATATCTTTGGAAAATTTCTGCAAAAAAAAAAAAAGAAAAATCTGGTCTTTTAGAATTTGGTGTAAATGTGCTTAAATAATAATCTTTTCATTAAAAATACACTTAAAATTGCACAAGAACGACACATTATGATCATATGTAAAATTGTGCACAAATATCAGAATTTCTGCAAAAAAAATTGCTCTTAGATTTTGGTGTAAAATGTGCTTAAATAATAATCTTTACATGAAAAATACACTCAAAATTGCACAAGAACGACACATTATGTTCATATGTAAAATTGTGCACAAATATCTGAATTTCTGCAAAAAAAAATTGCTCTTAGATTTTAGATTTTGGTGTAAAATGTGGTGTAAAATGTGCTTAAATAATAATCTTTAGATGAAAAATACACTCAAAATTGCACAAGAACGACACATTATGATCATATGTAAGATTGTGCAAAAAAATCTGAATTTCTGCAAAAAAAATTGCTCTTAGATTTTGGTGTAAAATGTGCATAAATAATAATCTTTACATGGAAAAATACACTCAAAATTGTACAAGAACGGCACATTACGTTCATACGTAAAATTGTGCAAAAAAATCTGAAAAATTTCTGCAAAAAAAAAATTGCTCTTAGATTTTGGTGTAAAATGTGCATAAATAATAAATTTTTCATGGAAAAATACACTCAAAATTGCACAAGAACGACACATTACGTTCATATGTAAAATTGTGCAAAAAAATCTGAAAATTTTCTGCAAAAAAAATAAATGGCTCTTAGATTTTGGTGTAAAATGTGCTTAAATAATAATCTTTACATGGAAAAATACACTCAAAATTGTACAAGAACGGCACATTACGTTCATATGTAAAATTGTGCAAAAAAATCTGAAAAATTTCTGCAAAAAAAAAATTGCTCTTAGATTTTGGTGTAAAATGTGCATAAATAATAAATTTTTCATGGAAAAATACACTCAAAATTGCACAAGAACGACACATTACGTTCATATGTAAAATTGTGCAAAAAAATCTGAAAAATTTCTGCAAAAAAAATAAATGGCTCTTAGATTTTGGTGTAAAATGTGTCACCCAACAATTCTATCTTGTCTACAAACCACATTTTGTCACGAAAAATCACACGTTAAAACAAACACAACACAACACGCCAATACGGACGTCAGACAGAAACTAGTGCTGCAAACTGTTTGCGCGATGATTTGAGAAAAAAAGAGAAAAAAATGCAAAAAAAAAAGGAAAAAATAAGATTTACCCGGTGACCTCAACCCATGCCTTGCTCTGATTGGCTGTAGCTCATGACATCACTGAGGTTGAGTCGCGCGGCAGCTCTGGATATCTAGCATGCTAGATATTTTTATGGGCTTGGCGATGCATCTGTGAGCATCTTTGATGCGTTGTTCGCTATTTCATACTAACAGATTGGCGAGCGTTCATCGCCCGCTAATCCCACACGATTTGCCCACAATAGCACCCTGACCTGCCGGCGAGCTCAACGATTTACAAATTGGGCTTAAAATCATGTAGTGTGTGAACTAGGCTTAAAGGGTGCATATCATGCTTTTAAATCATTAATTTTTACTTATAAATCATACCGTTGCGATATAAAGCCTAACTGCAATGCTTGGGTCTGAATTCCTCATTATTAAAGCTCCACAAGCCCCTTTTCTGATGTGCGTCTGTGAGCGACCCGTTTCAAAGCGGCCCCTTTAAATAAAAAGGAGATGCGTCACACCCCGCCCGCTCTCCAGGTCGATGAGTTCACGGTCGGTTCAACTCCCCACGTTCGGCCATTATTGTAGTTTGATAAGAGATATACGATTATATACGATACCTTCAAAGAACATTTTTAGTCACTCGTTAACAAAATGTCAATAACAGAAGACTTGTCCATCAAGCCTTACATATTCGAGCCAGAGCGAGCGAGTCGAAAAATACGACGACGAACCTGCAGAACAACCTCTTCATATGGATATATTGGTATGAGAGTTAACCGTTTTGTGTTATTAAAGTCGACTATTTCTCTTTTTAAAACAAGCACACTGACAAGATAAATGACTACGGTCTAATCTTACCACTAAAAATCTGTATTAATAATAATATAATAACTTACGTGTAGAAAAGCATCAGAAAACACAGCAGCTAAATTAAATGATAGAAGGATTTACCCCTCATTCAGACGAAGTCGATCGGCAAACCCTTCTTTTGTTGAAGTGGGAAACCTTGAAGTGCTTCAGGTCACTAACGTACATCCAACAACCGAACATTTTGACTTGCCCTCTCGTAACTTCTGCATCATTGAGCTCGGACTACAAAATCACAGCGAGAAATAATAATGGCGGATTGCTCGAAGTGTTGGACCGGAAGTCAATGTCCTTATTTGGCAGTTCTGCTGCAAATACGGTGACGAGATAGTTAAAAAAACGTCGTAGAAACCAGAAAAATCTGAACAAGTTGAAAAATATAACCAAAACAGAATATAAAGATATAAACGAATCACCTGAAAAGAGAATAATTTCATCTTTTCTGTACTTATAAACACTCCAAATATACAACAAAATGCATTTAAGGGCTAAAAAAGTGGATTTTGCATGATATGTCCCCTTTAGGAAACCATTGTTTTGTCTTTTGATTTGTGGCGAGTGATCCGACCCAGACATTTCCTGAAATCGGGCGGACGCTAGCCGCTATCTGTCGCGTCTTTAGAGAAAGACCCGGTGGATTGTGGGTGAGTCTGAGACAGACTTCAGAACCTCCTCCTCGTCTCCCGCTGCGCTCTTACACAAACAAGATGTGGAAGAGAGACGGGCGGCTCGAGAGAAGCAGAGGATCAGAGAACGACAGCCGGGCGGAGCGATAAAGAGAAAGATAAAGTCAGCAAGAACAGAGAGCAGCTTTAGGGCCCAAACGACGGCATATCAGGTTTCAAGCGACACAAAATTGACCCAAATCTAGCAGTTGTCACACACACACCAAACACTTCCGAGGTGCATCTTCTGTCTCTTTATATTCGTTTATAATATGACCTTAAGTGCATGGAAAATACAGACATATTCGGACGCCACTTTTATAGTTGTGCGACCCCAATATGTTCATATAAAATATGTATATGAGGCTGTGAAATGAAATCCTAGGACTTTAAGCACTACTTTTATCAGATATCTCACTTATCAAACAAATGATTGATCTAAACATTATCTGTATTATATATATGGATATTTATGTGCAATATCACACTCAAAGCCATGCGAAATGCCTCTCAATCTGCAGCCCATATGATGTAGATATAATTTTGTGTGTGAAAAGATTGCTTTATCAATAAAATTAGACACTAATTTCACATATTCTCTCAAATGCTTTTCAGTACCTTTTCATAAAAACGACTTTTTCAAGGAGTTTCCAGGACTTAAATTTCAAAAAAGTCTAATTTAAGCCCCGTGTCGAATCGTTGTTCCCACAGTAAAAGATGGAGAATGCATGTGTTTTCTTACAGCTCTCCAGTTGTAAGGTGCACGTCTGTTTGTCCATGGGATATTTGGTCAGATCCATGTTACAGGCCACAGTGGTGGTGATCCTACACAAAACACACTTCAGATTATTATTCATAAACATCTGATATTTAAATGCATCACATCCTATTATATTCATCCTACACTTCAGAATTAAAATTCCCTGATGATTTACTCTCCTCCACGTCACTCAAGATGTTCACGTCTTTCTTTCTTCTGTTGAAAAGAAATGTGTTTTTGAGGAACACACTCCAGGATTGTTCTCCATACAGTGACTTCAATGGTCCAGTCGATGTGAGTTTCAGTGCAGCTTCAAAGTCTCGACACGATCCAGCCGAGGAATAAGAGTCTGATCCAGACAAACCAGCCGACATTTACAACAAAACACACATTTATATACTTTTAACCACTAATGCTGGTCTTGCTCGAGCTGTGATGCGACACACATTACGTCATCAGGGTGAAACATCACGCGTAGGCGGAAGTGCAGACCTAGTGTTTAAAAAGAGAACGTACAAACGCCATTTACAACATAATTAAAAAATGCCGGACGATTTTGAGTTTTTCGTCCTAGATTTCTGAACTGGAACATACGTGGCGTTTCACCCTGATGACGTAATGTGTGTCGCATCACAGCGAGTGTAAGACCAGCATTAGTGGTTAAAAGTACATAAATGTGTATTTTGTTGTAAATGTCGACTGGTTTGTCTAGATAAGACTCGGCTGGACCTCACATCTGGACCTTCGACCCGTTGAACCATTGAAGACACTGTATGGAGAAATCCTGGTTAAGGGTTGAATGAACGAGTACTAAGGTTTTTTCCATTTCTTGCAGGTTGAGTTGCTGTAGCCCAAAACACGCTAGCATTCTGTTCATTTTTTTGAGTGGTATATCTCCATAGACCTGTGAGCGCCCTCATGTGGAGCCAGAGTGGAACTGCTGCCAGTGACATTTACTGAGAGTGGACGTTCTCCCGTAATTAGACACTCTCTGTCAGTACTTTTGACAACACTAGAGCAGGGAAAACCTCACCGGAGGGCATAGAGGACCGTTCCGTTGGGAAAGATCCGGATCAGTCGGTTCTCCACTGTAATGTCGTGGAGGAAGGACTTCTTGGAGTCCACGATGAAGGTGTCCGGGACCCACAGCAGCTCCACCAGACGCCCGTCGAGACTCAGACTCTTATTGCCTTCGAACACCAGCCTCTCGTCCGTCCAGCGCTGACGCAGGAAGATGGTGGCCGTGTAATCCTACAATCAAACACGGAATTATTATAAAAAAAATAAAATAAAAAAAAAAAAAAAATATATATATATATATATATATATATAAAATCATTAAATATTATGCCATTAAATATAATAATAATAATAATACATAAGTTAATATAAAAGTTAATAATTAATTACTGGTAGCATTATTCTTCTGTAATTTCAATAATAATATTATTAAATTATATAAAACTATTATTTGAATAATAATAATAATAATAGTTTAAAAATTTTAATTTTTTACTTATTATTAGTATTATTATATTTAATAATAAACAAATATAAGTAATAATAAATACATATTTATTTTTCATTGTTGTAATTTGGAAATTAAAATGTCAATAATAATAATAATTTAATAAGTTAAACTAATATTAATGCTAGTAATAATAATACAAATAAATATTGTTATTTATTTTATTTAGTACTGTCATTTGAAAATAAAAACAAACTATAATAACTATTATAAATATAAATAATTAGCAAATATTATTTATTAAAAAATGTTTAAATTATGTATTGTTATTATTTGTGTTACATTTAATAATAAACAAATAAAAGCAATAATAAATATTTTTAATAATATTTTTATTCATTATAATTGTGGATTAAAAATGTGTGGATTTTTTAAAATAATAAGTAGTTTTTAAATTCATTATTTATTGAGCATTATTCATTATTATTAGTCATATAATTGTTATTATTTTTATTTTTTAAATGACTGTTGTTAACAATAATAATAATAATAATAATAATACTTAACTCTTAACCACAAGTATGAGCAATAAATAAAGTTAATGTAAACTGCCGTATAAAATATCATATTATCTTATACTGTATATAATCTCATCATATGTGTGTGTGTGAGGTCGCACTGTTCATCTCACCATGTTGATCTCTGAGATCGTGTCAATGCTGGCGATGTCTAAGCTCATGCCCACCGTGACAGGACCATCTAAACACAGAGAAGGCATGTAAATATCATGTGCATTTCAATATCGCATAATCATTCTGAGCATCGCTGTTAAAGATGGAAACCCTGCGAGCCAAACTCTCGGCTCATTAAAGCGGATCATGTGGAAAGCAAATATGTTTTATTCGTCTAAAGTCTTTACATCAGCTCAACAGTGAGTCAGAGCCATGTAGATGATTTACATTAACAGTTTTGGGGACAAATTAACAAAAAACAGCAATGTTTGCAACATGATGGCAATAATCAAAAATGCTCTCATCACTGTTTTCTTTCTTTTTTGTACTGATTCAATTCTGAGTACAAGCAGCAGCTGTTTACCACTGAACCGAGGCAATGAGTTTCACTTTATTGAAGTATTTGTCCTTTTGGATTCACCAGCAAAGGCACAATTTATTCCAAAGACGAGCAGCTGTGAGAAATACATAATAATATAAGAGCAAGATGCACATTATTCGCCATCAACAGCCGATTGCTTTCAGACCAGCTGCAAACTGAGTTTTTGTCTCATTAAACAGACGCTCAATCAAGTTTTACACTTTACCAGTCCGTGTGTTTCCATGCCATGATCTACAGTTTACTGGAATACTTTTGTTAGTTGCTTATAGTTATCTCCTAAATGGCTTAATCTCTGATGATGTGGGCGGGGCTATAACCTGTCACTCACATGAGATCCACCAATAGAAAACCAATGAACCTTCCAATCAATTCCCCACGGACAAAATCAAGCCCCGCCCACATTTGTTCTGGTTCCAGAAGCGTTTCACTCGGCTATACGACACACACAACTAGAGCCAGACCGATAAAGGATTTTGAAGGCCGATAACGATACAAATATTTTTTGGTTTTAAAATCCGATATTCCGATATATCAGCCGATATTTTTTTTTATTTTTTTTTATTTCAGAAACGCGCAACAGAACATGAACAGATTTCCCTAACATTAGTTATTTGTAGTTATTTATGAGTTTTAACTAAAATAATATGAGAATGCATTTTAAAAAGAAACTTGTTTCTTTTATTGTCACAACAGAACAGACTGATGATAGCGGCATTAGCTAATGTAGCTTTATGGTTAGCTAGTCTATGATGAGCCATAATTTAGCAATGGATTACGTCATAATGCAAATTGTAAAACATACATGTTCAATATAACAGTCCAAGGAGAGATGATGCGTCTCATTGCTAAAACTGTCACGCGCTATTAAAGAAATACTTCAGTCACATCGTCAAAAGTTAAAAGGACAGTCAGTCAACTACACTGTAACAACGTAACGTAACGTAACTATTACTAGCTAAACACTCTCGGCTTATTTAACAGCAAAACTGGACATGATCGTCACAAATTTTGTCGCTTATATGAGTTTAGAGAACTGATGGGGATGATCTTTTAATTGTTATTCAAGCAATGACCAACTCAACGAGTGTTGCCAACAGGAAGGGTGTAGAGCGCCCTCTGGTGGACAAACTATACAACTCCAACACTTCAAGCATGTTTTTCATCCGTTTTTATTTTATTGTTGAAATATTCATTTATCGGCCATTATAACTGCCGATACCGATAGTTTGGAAAATGCCAAATATCGGCCGATAATATCGGTCTGGCTCTAGACACAACAGAGGAGAAAACGCCAGTGCAACTTCAGTTTCAAGGCGACCAAGTTATAAGTTGACAAGCTACACTTTTAAAAGAGCTTCCTCGACGCTGGTGGAGCAGAGAGGGAAGAAAGAGACCAGACGGCTGGAGAAACATCAATAATTTACAAAAGGAGTCGAGGAGAAGCACGTGTGTGTCACTCGTCTCGACCTCTGAAGGGTCTCGGATTTATTTTCATTACTTGAAGTCAAGTCAGCTTTATTTACACTGCGCTTTTTACAACAGCGAGTGTTTCAGGGCAGATAACAGGAGAATGATGCAACACGGTTTGCTTCTAGAAGAAAATATCATCACAGTCCGCCTTAAGAAAGTTCAGTGATGGTTCATTTTTGTTGTAAAAATGTATACTAATTTAGTTAATTTATAAATAAAGCCGCTCTGGAGAAAACCGTGATGTCATCGTCCAGTTCAGTTCAGTTCTGATATAATGGTGTCAATGCAGCAGATCGATAATATTGTTGAATATTAAATTTAATGTCCCCAACTAAGCAAGCCAAAAGTCAAAAGCAAAAAAAGGTGAAAAAGTCAGTTCTCCTCTGGCCAACAATAAGTAAAATGAACAGTCTTCTTCTACTGTGGGGTCAACTGCAGCTGACAGGGTTAGCTAACGCATGTTGTTATTAGGGCTGGGTAATAAATATCGATTTCTTGATATTAATCCATTCTCATTTTTACGAACCGATATTGATTCTTAAATCTCAAGAATCGATTAGTCATCCTGTTTCATTTGACTGAATGGGACATTGTATCGCGGCTGCGCGCATCCAAAAAAATCGCAATAATCTTTGTCCTTTGTTACTATTGATATGAAACAAAGTCTCAATTTTCAAATTACGTCCATTTTCTTTAGAAATTCAAAAACATAAATAGTGTTTTGGCGCGAAATAAACATGACTGAGCATCTGAAAGTGTGTTAAAGATAGAGTACAACTTATCGAAATCCGTATCATGGCACATTGATTCACTCAATCAGCGTTTCAACCGTGGAAAGACGTCAGTTAAACAGCTTGCAATCAATGTCATCATCATATTTACCTCAGAAAACCCACATAAACTCGTTAGTCAGCTAGAAAAAATAACTCTAGAGAGCATTTTGCTAAATATATACACCATATTACATATGCATTATAATCTTAATGTTCTTCAATATTTAATGCATATTTGAATAAATCTGGCAAGTTTTTATGACAGCCACCATTTAAATGTTTATATTTCATATAATCTTCTTATTGTAAAAATAAATAAAAGTGTAATTTAAGTGTTTGTATAGCTACAAAACAGTTCATTATTACCTTCATATTAGGCTAATGAAGTCTATAGGCTACAACTAGACTCCCATAGTTTACAGCATTAGTTAACCCTTTCACGCGTACGATCACACCGGTGTGATCAGTCTCGGCTGGTCCCTGGAGCGTACGATCACACCGGTGTGATTAGAACGTTCAGTGCACACGTCAGCAACTGCTAAATTCAAACTTGCTCTCGCGCGTTGGCTGGCGCTCAGCAGTGGCGCCTCCAGAAATTTTTCGTAGGGGTGGCCAGATGGGGCCAGTTAAAATCTTGGGGTGGCACACCAAAACTACAGTATAAACCATAATTTCAGAATTGTTTTCTACTGTTGTAATAAACCAGCCTGTAGAAAACTATCAGAAAGACTTAAGGAAACTCCTACTGATATACTTTGGTTTATTGTGTAATATTTAATGTTACTAATGATATTAGTAGGGCCCAACTAATATATATTACATTGTATATAATGACATATATTATATGATATAAGGGTCCTTACCCCACAGCAAATTTCCAGATACTTACATAATTGTGATGAATTTAATAATTTTTAAGTTATTAGTTTGCAGTGTAAGATTACAGTTAACACCTTTAAATATTACATAAATGTATTATGAATTTTTAATACACTTAATGAGTGTATACATCAGCAGCAAAAAGTAATTCTTGAAAAAATCTGCACAGTAATTTTATAAAATCTAAATATGTTAATAAAAACAAATTACTATTAGTTCTCTTTTAAAATTCAATCAGGCAATCATGTCACAATTTTATATTTATATATTAATGTCAAAAATTCAGAAGTGCATAGCCTAAACTACAAATAAATTATATACAATTAAATTATGCTTATTTAAAATGTATTGAGCAGGCTAGGTATAACAAAATATATTGGCTTTTAATAATATTTCAGTGCGCAAACCCATGATTGAGCCCGTTCTTGCATGATTACATGAAAAACATCGCGGGTGCAGAATGATGTGCTCAAAGCAACATGGAGTCACAGTGTGCAGCAGCAGCACTGCGCTTCATAAGTGTGCATTTAAAAGCTCATGTCACAAATCGAAAAAATGTTGAGCGCACAAATCCAAGTGCGATTTGTTCCTTTGTTTCACAGTTATTGTGCGTTTGATGCCGATTCATAATCCTTGTGATATGTATGTGTGATCTAACAGAACATAGTGAGTCGCTTAAAAACAGCAACAAACTCCAAGAAAATAAAGTAATTTTATGCGAATATACAGACTTTTATCTACAGATCATGCATTTATAATGTCAATATATCATATTGGAGAGAGTTTTACCGTGCATCCAAGAGGCGCGCGTGCTGTTTGAATATGAATGGAGAATGATGACAGCCGCAGAGGAGGGAAAACGAGTTTATACTTTAATGATGTAAATACTTCTGTCCCTCACATTAAGCTATGGAATGACTTCAGATGACTTTGTCACCCAAACTGACGTGAAAAAAGCGAGAGGCGCCGAAAAGCGCGCTGTTTGCATCCCTGCCTGTCCAAACGTGGCAAAAACACACCTAAAAGCTGCTGTACACCATTTGGCACTTAAAAGCACGTCACGACACATAATTCCCCGTCTTCTTTTACTTAAGAATATTTTTGACTTATTTATAAAATGCATAACTGATGCTACAAAAATTAATACTGGCCATTGGGGTGGCCAATGGGGTGGCCAGGAGTCGGCCAGGGGTGGCCATGGCCACCCCTGGCCACCCCCTGGTGGCGCCATTGGCGCTCAGCCAGAGACAGACGCACTCAGTGCTGTCATATATCACAACTATTGAGTGTTTTCAACCACATAATGTTTATTTTAGGTTTCAGACATTAAAATACACATATGTACTAGCAAAACAATGATTTTGAGTTTGTAAAATACACACAGATGTCTATGGAAGCGGCAATAATAATCCTTTCAATTATAATAAGACGACACATTTTATTCATATCAGATACACATTGTGTAAGTAGCTTAACATTTGATCATATTCTTCTCCCAGTTCACCAGCCACTTACTATCATGTATTTTGTGAGAAGAGGATGACTTGACGTTATAAATCCAACAGATCCGATTCTCTGAACTGAAAATGAAACTAAAATGGCGCCGCCCGTTGTGCATACAGCTCAACTAACGCGATCGTTATAAAGATGTCTAAACAACAAAACCCATCCACTTGCACATATTTGACAATCGGAATATCAGTGTTTCATGATATAGCTAATACATTTTTGAATATTTTTAATAAAAAAGGAAAAATGACATAAAAGCAGATCATCATTCATTCAGCGCTCTGTTCTGGTTGTGCTGTGTCACGTGACAAGCAATGACGCGTCACCATGGAAACATTAAAGTGGCAAGTTCTAAATAACGGTCGCCTTGAAAAACTCACGCTGGGGGGTCAGTTAGAATATTTTAAACTTACGTGTGAAAGGGTTAAGAGATTTGATTCCCTTGAGAAAAATTGCCATTTATTGTATCTGATATCCAAAATAATCGCTACTGAATCGAAATCGAATCAAATTGCGAGCTTGTGAATCGAAACCGAAACGAATTGTGAAATTTGTCTCAATACCCAGCCCTAGTTGTTATGCATGTATAACGGCACTTGTCCTGAGTGTCTTTCTGACTGATGATGCTGTGGCTTAATCACATTTATAATTCACATTTGTAATATAATGGAGCATCAATCAATCTGTTTTCAAAGGAGGCGCCTACACATACACATTAAACATTCATTACGTCCTTACTGTCAAAGAAAGGCCGGAGGTATTTGTTGTATCCTTTCATCAGCTTCTGGATGGTCGGAGGAAGAATCTCTCCATCCTTCACTTCCGCGCTGAGCAGCGAGTTCTCCAAAAACCTGCGTGTGTGGAAACAGAGGAATATGAACAGAGAACGTGTTCAGCAAACGCACACACTCATTACTTGTGTAGATTAAACAGTAGAGCGTTCGTGCTTGCAACGCCAAGGCCATGGGTTCGATTCCCAGGGAAGGCAAGAACTGATAAGAATGTAAGAAATGTGTACCTTGAAATGCAATGTCAAGTCATCCTCCTTTATATAGCGCTTTTAACAAAGTAGATTGTTTCAAAGCAGCTTTACAGAGATAAACATATAATTTAAGGTCACAGAGCTTGGCTTGGTTTTATAGCGGTTCTTGAATAATGTTAATTTCCGGCTAAAGTTTCTTTAGATTTATTCACTGCCGTCGAAATGATTATTTGTTCAAATTAGGCCGCTACGACACCGTTCTCTCTAAACAGACTTTAAACTGAACCTGCGATAAACGCTGACAGCGTTTAGAGGCAGCGTTTAGGCTATATAGCGAGAGGCTTTCGTTTTTTGTGTGGGAGAAGAACGTATGTCTGGGGAAAATGCAGAGAGATGGGGAAGCAAATCTGGGCGACACAACCCCTCCCGTCACTTCAGCTCATGACGGCATCAAAACAATAGCCGCGTGTCCACTGAAAACATGGCGAAGCGGCTCTCCACGGCTCTGCTTTCGTCTGCGAAAAAGTTAAGAAACTCGTCGCACACACACACAAAGTCCCCTCCGTGCACGTCTGTCTATGGGGTGCCGGACCGAGTGTGTGTGTCCGAGTCGAGAGCGCGCGAGAGACGAGACAGCACGCTCAACAGTGCGCGCGAGAGAGACCGAGTGTGTCCGAGAGAGCGCTCGACAGTGCGCGCGAGAGACAGAAGCTGCGTCCCAATGTGCATACTATGCCCGAAATAGTATTGACAGTAATGTCACATGCTATTTAGGATGGATAGTATGCACGTTACGATGCAGCTAGAGTGTGACTTTTATTTTAACTTATATAAACTAATATAATTTATTTTTACAGGACAGTTTAAAGCTCATAACCATATTTTGTTGTTACTTGAAGTACTTAGAGTGCAGTGTTATGTTGCATCATGCAGTATTTGTCATTTTAAGAGTAAATGCCTATTTTATTTGTGTACATTTTAACATTAAAAGCAACATTAAAAGCTCTTTTTACAACTAAAATAACAGTAAAGGTTAAAAAAAACTGAATTCCCAAAAATTAAAACGGAAAAAACGGAATTTGGGAAAAAATAAAACGGAATTTGGGAAAAAATAAAACGGAATTTGGGAAAAAATAAAACGGAATTTGGGAAAAAATAAAACAGAATTTGGGAAAAAATAAAACGGAATTTGGGAAAAAATAAAACGGAATTTGGGAAAAAAATAAAACGGAATTTGGGAAAAAATAAAACGGAATTTGGGAAAAAATAAAACGGATTTTATAGGGCACTATATAATGTAAGCCAAATTCATTCAAAAAGCTTCTGCCAAATTCATAAAATTGTAAATGGACTTTATTTATATAGCGCTTCATAGCTCATCAGGAGGTTAGGTGTCTTGCTTACAGACACCTCAACATTTGGTCAGGTGGAAACTTTTTTTTTTTTTTTTTTTTTAATTTTATTGAACATGTTAAAAAAAAAAACACACAACAGCAAAAACTGAATAAAAGTAAAAAATAAATAGTTAATCATCAACATCAAGAAGAAAAAAAAAAAGATCATCTACAGATGGTCCAAACAACAATCATGTTCAAAGGGGGTAGGAAGAAGTTAGAATAACTTTTCTTGTCCTATCCCCACTTCAATAATATTTTAACTACTTAAACTAACTTATCTAAGGTTTACTTTACCTAAGGTTGAAAAAAGAAAATCACTGTTCCAGCTCATATCCATCAAGGATTCTTTTTTAAACATATATTTCAATTGCAATAAGTTTTTACATAATTTTAAATCATTGTTGCTACTGTTCCACAGTATAACACCCTGGGTTGGTATACAGTGCAACTTAGTGTTTGTGCGAATCCGCGGTCTACTAAACATTGATATTCCTCTAAAATTATATGTGTTTTCTCGTAATTGGAAAAGCTCTTGGATATTTCTAGGTAATTGGTTGTTGTGAGCTCTAAAAACAATTTGAATAATTTTATAAACAATCAGATCTTTGAACTTTAATATTTTGAGTTTAATGAACAATGGGTTTGTTGGTTCTCTGTATGCAGTTTTATGTATGATTCGAATAGCCCTTTTTTGTAAGATGAAGATTGGGTGTGTATTTGTTTTGTAAGTATTCCCCCATACTTCCACACAATAAGTCATGTACGGGAGTATGAAGGAGCAGTACAACATATTTAGAGAAGCCTTATTCAATAAGTATTTAGCCTTATTTAATATTGCCAATGACTTGGATATTTTGGTTTTAATATAGTTTATGTGAGGTTTCCAGCTTAATTTGTTATCAATAACTACCCCTAACTTGACAATTGATAAACTTAAGGTTGAGCCACTGTCGTCACTCGGACACATTTTGGGGTGAACTATCCCTTTAAGATAGAGAGGGGAAAAAAGATTGGGAAAAAATATGCATATTTTCATAATTGGATTACTTTGATCCGTTAGTGTGGAAGACGTGAAAACGTGCCATCAGCACTCGGATTGCATCACGTTTGGCTTTAGAGCAGAACAGCAACATATAGCAATGCACCTTCAGCAGAAACTAAAGCGCATTTATGATGACATGACAGATGTGTGACATGTACAGTAAATACAGGACAGATGAGCACGGTAAACACTGACAGTAAAAATAGAAATGATCAAACTCAACATCATAACCAGAGAACATTTGGTTACAATTTGAACTAGTTCATTTTAAACTGTGAAGGCTTATAGACTTTGGCAGAAATTTCTGATCGCTATTTAAAATGTGATTAAAAACAATTCCAGGTTTGTTGTGCTTGTTTTTAGGGCTAGATAATGTGGCTAATATTTTGTTCATATATCAATATTGCTATAAATATGAATAATATTAATAACTATTATTTAAAACAAAAAAATACATATAATTATTGTAATATTTCATTGTAAAATAATATTTTATAGTAAGTATTATTTTTTTATGGCTGTCCTAATTTCTTCATTTTAAAATGTTGAACCATCAAATTTATATTTTGACAGTAAAATAAACGTTAAGCACGTTTGCAAATTAATTTAATTATATTGCAGGTATTGAGATTTGATAAATGCCATTTTACAATTATCATATTACAACTTTTTATCTTGCAATTCTTTGTAATTGAATTAAATTTGTGAAATGTAAACTTGCTTTTGTAATGTGCATTTTCGGTAAAGCTGCTTGAAAGGGTGTTGTGTATTGTGAAAAGTGTTTTAGAAATAAATGTGACGAATTGAATACTGAGTCAAAATTTTGTGATATACTAAAGTCGTAATTGCGTGATAGTCAGAATTGCGAGAAATAAACTTTTAATTCTGACTCAGAATTGCATTTATATCTCGCAATTCTGACTTTATAACATGAAATTGTGAGATATAGTCAGAATTGCAAGATAAAGTCGCAATTGCGTGTTTGTGACAATTGTGAGATATAAACGCAATTTTTTCCTTTATAACTTGTAATTCTGAGAAAAGATATCAGAATTGCAGTTTATTTCTCGCAATTACGAGCTTATATCTGACAATTCTGACTTTATAACATGCAATTCTGAGATAAAAAGTCGCAATTATCTTTTAAAATGTTTTATTTTGTGGCGGAAACAAATTTATGTCCCTAAACTAATATTTTAAGTCTCTGTTTTGACAACAACAAAAAACTCCAAATGATGGTGTAAAAGAGAAATAATGCAGATGAAAGTGTGCCAGAGCGTTTGAGGAGGAGACAGGCCACTCAATGAAATCAAACATTTATATTTGTTCCAAGATCAAAACATCTCAACATCACAACCGCTTACTGTACTGTTAACAACCACCTCGTTAGGGTCTATATATACTTCTTCTAAAAATACATTTCAGGACGAACATCTGAGAAACTCCATTAGTCTGCCGAGCTATAAAAGCACAACATCTGATCTGAGTTTCCAGCTGTGCAACTAAACAGACACACAATACAAAATCAAGCCTGGTTTCCTCAAATGTTCCTCCACCTCGTTAGGTTTAACAGGGGTTGTGTGAGGCGAGTTTCCCTACGAGGAAAGCCAGACGGGATCGTCAGTGGCTATGCTTACGAGCAACCAAACCAAAAAAAGAAAGCAGCTCAGATAGTTTGATCATGTGATCAGAAATGTGTGTTCACATCGAGATCACTAACACAACATGACACATTTCTTTCTGAGCTCTAGATGAGAAGTGTGTGAGTTTCTCCAGGACCTTTATCTCAGGAGGAACATCTGAGGAGCCGGACACTTCAGCAAACGTCTCCATTTGTTCTCCATTTAATCAAATCGAGAGAGAAACCACTGAGAATGTGACGTATTAAATGGTTCTTAATCGTCAAAGTCTCTCTTTCTCATTCTAGCTTAATCAAATCTTATGAATTACACTTATGAAACACACACATCACATCGTCTACATTTACATGCAGCCGAACAATCCGTTAGTAATGGGATTGACGGCTCAATCGGACTGGAAAGCCTTCATGTAAACACCTAAATCGATCCGAGTTAAACGGTCAGTTTATTCCTTTTCTAACCCGATCGAGAGAACATGTAAACACTTGATCGGATTGAAAACCGAAACTGAAAGGACTGCGCATGTGCAATGGCGTAGGAATAGCGTGATGACGTGTGATGCGCTGAACGAGCCGTTCTCCTGATGAATAAAGTGAAAGTGTGGTATAAATGAGTTTCCCGTCTCTTCCATCAGTGTGTGTGCAATGGAGCAGGACGACGCATATTATATTAAGTTTATTATATAATATATAATATTATATTATACACATCAACCCGATCACATGTTCAGCGTTCATTTAAACACTACATTCAGTGTAAATCAGAGTGAATTCAGTCCGATTGAAACAAA